TGTCATATTTCCCACTCTGAACAATCTCAAACGCTATTGGTCCGTTGTGTCTTTTAGTATGCTATTTTGTAACCCTTCCCAAGGACGGTTTTGTGCTGTGCTTATACGTTTTGATTTGTGTCTGTTGTTATCGCTCGTGCTTCTGGATTTTTGCGAAATATACTTCCCTGTTCGGACTTCGACTTCTTTATGTAGTTAGCGGGGCTGGGACGCAATAGAATAGCCAGGTTACTGGTCTTTGGTTACAAGTCTTTGTTCAGTTCGCAGACTAAGTGAACTCGTAACCACTTCAAACCTAGCATAGTACAGTCTAAGAGTGAACAAGTCGTATTCCGATTGGTCAATAAATTACGTGACTTAAAGTCACAACACTATGTTATCCATTGTGATACATAACTTTAAAAAAGGTATCTTCTTATTAAATTCATACAATAAAAACTATCATTCATAGTGAAAGTTCTATTGTAGAGATACTTCCAAAAGAGATGAATGATTTTATCGCATATCTGAGCATTAAAATGTATTCTATAATAATGAAGAGAATAAAATGGGTGGAATGAGTTATTTGCTCATGAATGGAAGAATAAAAGCTAATGGATTTTTTTAAAAACATTTTTTAATTATCTTAAGCTTTCTATGAAAACTGATTAAGAAATTAAGCTATTGACTTAAGGGAATAATTGAAGCAATTCGCACAGGATGTACACATGTCAACAAGAGATATCAATGGAAAGATTCAAATAAACAATACAAAAATAAATAACCACTTCATCCCATTGCATAAGATAGTGACTATATAGGCATAGTAACTGGGTAGATAACGCGATGACGTTTGAAGCGAATGTTACTAGGGTCGAGTCCTATAGTGAACATCAACTCAAGCGATGCAAGCACATCTAGCTGATGAGTCTCAAATAAGACGAGATATGTGTCCTGGTTTCCATTGTTAGCCACCATTTTTATTCATATAAATAGAAATTCTTGTACATTATTTTTGTGTTTACAGTCACATACTCTTCAAAAGTATGAAAAATGTTAAAATATTAAAAAATACACTTAAATACAAGATAAATAAAGCAAATAATTCAAATGTAGTGACCTATAAAGGTTGAGTAGAGTAGTGACCTTGATGATCCAATCAAATAGCAGTAAAATAAATATTTAAAACAAAAATTCACTGGACCAATCAGAAAACAATTTAAATAACGATTTAATTGAACTCTTAATTTGTTCATTATTAAAATTTAAAGTATCATTAATTAAGAATAAGATGACAATAATATAGTGACTTAGCTTCGTTGTTAATCCAGTAACTTGATATTAACACCATTGGATGTCAGCTCAGTGGTCCAGTAGGTTAAGCGTTCGAGCTCGAGACTGAAGGCCCTGGGTTCAAATCCTGCGAGCGGGATAGTGGATGCGCACTGCTGAGAAGTCTCACAATAGGACGAAATGGCCGTCCAGTGCTTCTAGGTTTTCAATGGTGGTCTAACATCAATTGGTTCATGATCTCAATCAAAAATTTGATAACCGTTATTATATATAATTTATAACAGTGTATGAATTCAAAGGGCAATAGGAAGCGGTGACTACAATTTATTAGTGGATAGTAAAGATAACAAAGTTACAAGTACAACGAGTAAATTTGGAGAAGAGTGGCTAATTTGTGTAAGTGAGAGAATACACAGGTGAGTTTGTAGTCAAATCGGACCAGGGGGGAATGAAATAAGCCAAAGGCAATTAATGGGATTCGAGCGCATACATAAGAAAGAGAATGATTCATTGAGTAATATTTAAGCGATCTAAAGAGAGAGAGAGAGAGTTATGTGCGTAGGCTGTTACATGTGATCATAATAATATGAAGAAATAGACGAATTGTTACTGTTCGAAGAACATTGTCTATTAAATACGTTAATAAAAGGGCTTAACCTAAAATTAACCATAATTGAAATTAATCGTAGGAGTGTTGTTATAATTGTGTAAAAGTTTAATCATTTCAAGTCAATGTTAAGTTAAACAAAAAAAGAAAAAACTTATTGTGAATAGATCATCAAATTAGAAGAAGACACTGATTTATAAGTTAGGATTAGTTGTTTATGGAATATTTATAGGTCACACTACGGCGTGCCTCAGAAGATAGTCAACATCATACAGAACTCATATGATGGATTACACTGCAAAATTGTGCATGGAGGACAGTTGACAAAGTCGTTCGAAGTGAAGACCGGTGTTAGGCAAGGTTGCTTACTCTCACCCTTTCTCTTTCTCCTGGTGATCGACAGGATCATGAAGACGTCAACGTCTGAAGGGAAGCGCGGGATACAATGGACATCTAAGATGCAGTTGGATGATCTAGACTTCGCAGATGATCTGGCCCTTCTATCCCAAACGCAACAACAAATGCTGGAGAAGACGACCAGTGTAGCAGCAGCCTCAGCAGCAGTAGGTCTCAATATACACAAAGGGAAAAGCAAGGTTCTCCGATACAACACAGCATGCACCAACCCAATCACAATTGACGGAGAAGATTTGGAAGATGTAAAAACCTTTACGTATTTGGGCAGCATCATTGATGAACACGGTGGATCTGATGCAGATGTGAAGGCGCGGATCGGCAAAGCAACAGCAGCATATTTGCAACTGGAGTACATCTGGAACTCAAAACAACTGTCAACCAACACCAAGGTCAGAATTTTCAATACAAGTGTCAAGACAGTTCTACTGTATAGAGTGGAAACTTGGAGAACTACGAAAGCCATCATCCACAAGATACAAGTGTTTATTAACAGCTGTCTACGCAAAATACTTCGGATCCGTCGGCCAGACACTATCAGCAACAACCTACTGTGGGAGAGAACAAACCAGATCCCAGTGGAGGAGGAAATCAGAATGAAGCACTGGAAGTGGATAGGACACACATTGAGGAAAACACCCAACTGCGTCACAAGACAAGCCCTCACATGGAATCCTCAAGGTCAAAGGAAAAGAGGAAGACCAAAGGACACATTACGCCGAGAAATGGAGATAGACATGAGAAAAATGAACAAGAATTGGATGGAACTAGAAAAGAAGGCCCAGTAGAGAGTGGGTTGGAGAATGCTGGTCAATGGCCTATGCTCCATAGGGAGTAACAGGCGTAAGTAAGTAAGTATAGGTCACACATATTTCCACATTTTATACACTGTATTGTATGATTTATTACATTACAACATCCCGTCTATTCAAAGCAAGAAAATATATTAACTACTTCAGAGACTCCTCTTGAACGCTACATCAGTCAGTATCATGTAACGGATTTTAAGTTTCTGGAAAGTGTAAGTAGGTAAATTCTACTCATGATATACATAATTATTGGATTAATCCATTTCAGTCAACATATTATGACTAGACTCTAGTTTCTTGTTTATGTTATTGTCTAAGAATATCTTCCTAGCTCTATTCCCAAGACCTTTATCTATCTTTCTTATTGAATTTCTTATTTAGTTAAAATCAAAAATTTTATTTAAATATTAGAATAGTTTGGAAATAAGTAATCCGTGAAATTTGAGTGACTAGCATTGCAATTTATTCCACATGAGAAAAAAAATAGACATTTCGACAATCACCAATTATGTGTCTAATAACTCACAGAAAAGATGCTGTGACTATGAAATCCAGTGATGTTAGAATTAAGTCATTCATTACTGATGATATTGGATAATCATAGAGTTATATCACAATGTGACTAAAGTTTAACCTGGAAACTATTAGATGCCAAATAAGCGGCCTAAAGGTAACATACTCTCCAAGAAGCTCAAAAGTCGTGTGCTCTATCTTCACTTATCTTGGAAGTCTGATCAGCCCTAATGGGTTGGTATCGGACGAAATCTCAGCACGGATTCGAAAAGCTCGATTGGCTTTTGCCAACTTACGTCACCTATGGCGAAGGCGAGATATCCGTCTATCAATAAAAGGACGAGTATACTGCGCGGCAGTCCGTTCTGTTTTAATTTACGGCAGCGAAACATGGCCATTAAGAGTAAAAGACACTCGTAAGCTATTAGTATTTGACCACAGATGCCTTAGAAATATTGCTGGCGTCTGCTGGGATCACCGGGTAAGTAATAGTGAGGTTAGACGCAGGGTATTAGGGAATGATGGTAAATCAGTTGATGAGGTTAGGAATCTTCATCGACTGAGATGGTTGGGCCACGTGTTACGTATGCCTGAACACCGATTACCACGACGTGCAATGCTATCCGGTATTGGAAATGGTTGGAAGAAAGTTAGGGGCGGCCAAACCAAAACGTTACATCAGTGCTTGAAGTCACTAACTTCTAGTCTGAGCCATGTTGGCAGATGCAGACTACTTGATTGGGGTCCGCGTGACTATCGTAACCGATGGTTGGAGACTCTTGGTGACATGGCTCAGAATCGATCCCAATGGCGTCGGTGTATACACTCCCTGTCTTCCCTTAAACTAAGAGATTAAAATCGCTTCATATTTTTCTTTCTACGAACCAATTCTTTCTTCTTGTACTATATCTCTATATGCAATCTTTCTCTTATATATTACTACCTTTGACCTAACCACTGCTATGAATCCGGTGTTCATCTTGCTGTGCTAATGAGGTATGGCAACCTGGACCGATGCACATGTCTTCCTGGTCCTACGTTGTAGCTGACTGACTGACTGCTCTATCTTTTACGATATTTTCGATGAACTCGAAAGTTAATGGATATTACTTTCCTAATTCAATGATGGTTGGATATGAATCATGATCCCAAATATCTTGTTGGAAGAGATAAATCCTTCCTTGTGATAAATATCTAACAAATTCATATTTGAATCTTTTTGAAAAATATATAATTGTAATCACTATTTACAACACTTGATAGAAACTGATATGTTTATTACATTAGCTACTTATCAGTTAATTTCAGTAGACTAAAATATGTAGAAAAACATTTCATATGAATTTTAGAGAACTATGTACAAATTATGTGTAAAACGTCAATACCTCAAAACAGTGACTTCGTTTAGCTTGTTCAAGCATTGCTTCCATGGCAGGCAAAAGTATAGGGAATATGAAACGTTTTAAATATTCTCTTGGAGTACCTAATAGAAAGGGAAAAATAAATAAAAACAGGTTTTGCATGGTGGTCTAGCTTCAATTGTCTCATGATCTCAACAATTGAAATTACTAAAATCTCCATAAAACCCCTTCTGATACTAATCAAAATGTGTTTACTAGTGACTGGCTTCAAGATGTATATCCTGGAGTTCTAGTGAGAAGCAGTAACCAGTGGAGTTCAAACGGGTCAGTTGTGAGATAGTAACTCACTGATGACAATGGTGGATGTGTCGCTCAATTTCGTGGATTAGTTGAATTTAGACATTAACACCGTTGGATGTCAGCCGGATTAGTGGTCTAGTGTTTAAGTGCTCGCGCGTGAGACCAGTAGGTCTTGCGTTGGAATCCCGCGAGGTGGGATCGTGGATGCGCACTACTGAGGAGTCCCACATTAGGACGAAACGGTCGTCCAGTGCTTCCAGGTTTTCCATGGTTGTCTAGCTTCAATTGACTCATGATCTCAACCATTGAAGTTACTGCAATATCCACAAACCCCCTTCTGACATTTGTGTTTATTGATAAAATGACATCCCGTACATTACTAACGGCTTCTTTCATAAATAATGTAATACATTCATGTGTTTTAAAAGTTATTTCCTGTCTACACGAATTGATTTACCCTTAGCTACCAGAGCATATTTTGAATATTCGGAGATTCTTCCATCCTTAATTTGCAAGCAATAGAAAGACTACTGAGTTTACTCTTATAAGTTAAATTATATCATTATTCTATGACAAGACTAAACTGTTAATAATTCGATGTGTAGTCTAATGTGTTTTAATATTACTAGCAATATTAATTCTTTTAATAGCGATGTCGATTGTTGTTGCTAGTAATAATTGTGATATACATTGCATACTTCATTATCATCAGCACCATTATTGATTATTATGACCTGACAGATTGGTTGCCTTTGAGAAAAAGCATGTCACACTACAAACAGTTTCATTAACATGTTGTAGAAGTCATAGTTACCCGTAGCGTTTATAATGTGAACGTATAACACTAGGAAGTTAGTCATTAATGAAATTTGAATCATTACAAATATGCACCAGTCCGAGCTTCAATATACTTATAATTAACGCAGAGAGGTTAATTTAATAAAAAGTCTAGTGGAAGGAAAACGATGCAACGTTAGTGTATACGATTTAAAAAATACTTAATTTATAGAATATGGTTCATAGAAGGAAGGAAGTGTGATCAAACTGTAACACTTAAGAAAGATAAAGAATAAATGGATCTCAGCTACTGTGATTGATTTTATGTCTTGCTGATCAAGAGTCACATTGCTGACTAGGAATTCTTCAACTTCTGACAAGGTTTAAACCAAGAGTCAACAACTTTGTGGCCTAATGACATATTACTGTTTGGTAACCACTCACCTATGAAATAAAAACGTTTGCAATGATAGCAAATTTTGCAGTAATCATTATCACCATCATTCTCACTATCATCGCGTTATGATCTCTAATCGATAAAACCACAAAATGTTTTCATTATGGATACGAAATGTTCTGAAGTTCATAAAATTATTAATATATTTAGTTTGTGTAGTTTTTATTTTCAGTCTGTCATTGTATCAATCAAGTTCGAGTGATTTGTATGTTTGTCTTAATAACTGAATCAGAAATATGCGTGACTGTAATTATCTGAGTGGATAAAGTTATAACAGATAACTCATTACTCATTTATTTATTTCTGTCTTAATTACTCTTGAATAAGATAAGAGAATGACATAGATATAAATTAATCTAACAAAACTAGCCATCATAGTGTAACGAAAACGTTTCGATGTATATGCTGTCGATTATGCTAAAATCCTGACCCCTCCCAATGATTTCACAACATTTTCAAAATATGCGTTTTATAAACAAATATGACTGACTTTTTAAGCAAAGATAGATGGTGGCTAGCAGTGGAAACCAGGACGCGCGATTCGTCCTATTTGGATGTACCTGCATCCCAGAGTTGATGTTCGCCCCGTGACTCGAACCCAGTACCTATCGCCCCAACCACCATTGGGTTATCCACTTAGCTACTGAGTCCTGATAGCCACATGCTCGTGCAATGGAGTGAGGTTTAAATTCACTTGGTGTTGTTTTACTTGCATCTTCCTATTGTTATTTAGGACTGCAACTGACCAGTCTCTTGTTAGCATATGTGCAACTCTGGGATGCAGGGGTAGTGAACAAGAACACGACTGGGGACAATGGAACGTGTTTGACACAAACTTACAGAACTTGTTATTAAAATCTAATAACCATATAGTAAATGCTCAATTTGCAAAATGACCATCATTTGTCTCAAAATGACTTAGACTTCATTGTTCTTGCATTTTTATACAAATTGCGTTCAGTTTTCATTCTTGACTGTTCGATCCTCTTGTCTCTTTGCTGCCAGACATTCTGTTTCTGACCAACGTCATATACTACTTAGGTCGATAAAAGCAGCACGCACCACACAGGTACATTCAGCTGACGAGCCCCAAACAGGACGAAACGCGCGTCCTGGATTCCACTGACAACCACCAGCCATCTTTGCTTATAAAGCTTGTGACTAAAGGCTATATTGAGGCAATCCGCACAGTATGCACATATATTAACATGAGGCTGATCAATTGCAGTCCTAAATAACAATAAGAAGATACAAGTAAAACAACACTAAGTGAAATATGACTGATCAACTTACATTTCTTTGCATAGTCTGAGTTTGGCTTCAATAATGCACCATCCATAGATGTATGTTGATAATCGTCACATGAATTTTCTGGTGATAATTTGAAGGACTTTATTTAATTCTGTTCTCATTTACAATATTGAGTATTACTTGAAGAGTTTGAAATGAATCAGAGCTTAAAGTTGTATTTTTGTAGACTTCTTCGGGGATTAAACCATATTTTTCTAATTGAGAATCTAAAACAGAATTTGAGATAATTTTTTTGAAATCAATAATTTACTGTTAATACTCATTTAAAATAAAGATCACTTTGCACGTTAATGGTCTATAAAGCAAGGCTGTAACTGATTATGGACGTCATCAAACATTCTAAATTCTTATTTAAAGAAACATCAAGCTGATTTGCTGAAGCGGATATGTGTTATCATGCACAGACATGCTAATACAAAGATTTGAAACCCCTAATACAAATGAAGAAACTAAAGTTATTATAACATCTCACAATGTGGAAATGAGGAATCGGTAAAAAACAAGTTTCAATCTTAACACAAGTGGTTTTACTAAACGAATAAGAAAGAAACTAGCTATTATAATAAATATCTCTACTGTAAAGACCTAATGTCATTCTTGTCCTGAAATTATTCTTGATTAGTGTTATTTCAAGAAATTTGATCAATGGTACTTAGCTTCTTTGAACTGACCAAAATTGTTGTCACTGACTACTTCGGATGATATCTTGTTAATGGGGTCAGATCTATCGTCTTTCTACCAGATTTATCACAATGTACATCTAGAAGAAAGAAAGAAATATTTGGGTGCCAGCTAAAAAATAGAGCTCGATCATTTTCGACCGAGAATTCTGGCCAGAACTTCTACTTTGAACAAAAACAATAAATATGCCAATAATACTGATATAACAAACAACAAATGAAATAGGAAAACAAGAACGCTGAGGAACTGATAAGAATTTCACTTTGGCCGTTTGTCTAGAAGTTTGCAAGTGTAGAAGTAATGCAGCATTATAAATTGGTCAAAAACCAACTATATGTAATGATCTTTAGTTCCGGGAGGTCTTAACTAGCCTACACTACTTATTATTTATTTGCGTAAAGCGGATCACTGAATCATTATCTTGATCGAAAAGCGAAATCCCTTCACTTTAAAAAAGAATACGAAAACAAACAATAAGCTATGGACATCTGCTTCAGAAGCTGTTATCCAGGATAATGCACTTAAGACATTGAGTGATTCAGATGCAACGAAACCGACAGCACCAGGATAGTTAATATTAATGTCGGCCATATAAACTGGAGTATTCATGGATTATTCCTAACAGTGATATTCAGATTGTCACTGTACCGATGACCGTTACTTCTACATTGAAAGGATGGTATGTAGTCATCTTTACCAACAAGACCGTACCTAAATAGCACTCATTTCCGATCAGCCTTACAAAGACAGTTTCCAAGACTTGACGAAATTAGTTGAAACGTTATTATACATTTTGAAACTTGTAGCTCTTTAAAGAACAGATTATGCAGGTTAAAGTGTACACTTCTATGTACGACAAACCAGTAAATAGCATGACAGAGCTGATCAGCTCATTCGAATGAAGTTTACAGATGACAAAAGTTCTGGATGAGTATAATGAAAAGCATGTAAGTTTAAAATCCTCGTACTTTGACGATACTTTCCATTCCTTACCTGGAGAGCAATGCACTATGATGTATCGAGTATTACAACACAAGAATCGTTGTTGTTTATTCCTCAAGCAAAAAGTCATTAGTACGATTAAACGGATCCGCCATATCATGAGAATGGAGTATTTGTTATGAAAAACACGGAAATATATGCCAGTATTTTCCAAGAACAAAACAAAAAACGAAACTTAGGTGTGTTTTGCTGAAAGTATTTCCTGAGCCAAGTGACATCACTCAACTTGAAGCGACTATCGTGACATGAAAACTTAACTAACTACTATTATTAATTTCAATACAACTAACCTGATAATATGTTATTCCATAATGTGGCCTTCAACATCTTTTTGTAATTGTCATTACACTGTTGCCTTAATAATGTAAGAATATGACCCATTTAAACAAATCATTATAACTTGAATTTTGTTCGTTCTCTTAGTTCTGAGTGAGTCTATGAGACTCGCACTTTTTGAGACTTAAGTTGGGTTGAAATAGGTGGTTATTTTATATGTAGGTTTGTTGCAACAGAGAATCTGAAATATAAAGATTCGTGTAGTAAGTACAGAAGGCCCATGTTACCCCTTTTCTAGTATGCTCCTGTGAGTGTCCAGTCTTCTCTTGAATGAGTCAATTGAAGGTGCCGACACCACGGCCTCGGGCAACATGTTCCAAGTATTAATGACTTGATGTGAAAACCTGTATGCCACGGGTACTTTGTTCGTAATTTTTAGGTCCAAAATCATATATCAGTACTCTGTACGTTAAAACTAGATCTCTTCGCAGTCTGCGATGGGACGGAGTGAAGAGATCCAGCTTTTCAAGCCGCTTTTTGGATGGTAAACCCCGAAGTTCTGGAAATACACGGGTAGCTGCCCTCTATACTTTTTCTAGGATATCCGAGTCACCTTTTAGACGGGAGCTTACAGCCTGAACGCAGTTCTCAAGCTTAGTTCTCACTAAGAATGTGCATATTGTGATGAACATGGTAGTATCTAACTTAGTGAATGCCCGTTTTAAAGCCCAGAGTGTTCGAAACCCCTTAGCTGCAACCTCCCGGCAATGGACTGTCGTTTTGAGATCATGACTCACTGTCACCCCTAGATCCTTATGAGACGAAACGACAAGCACTGGCACTTCCTCTATGCTGTACCTATTAACCTTTGAATCCCCAAAATGCATGTAGACACACTTTGCCGTGTTGATAGGCATCAGCCACTCTTTAGACCAGTTAATCATTTAAGTCTGCCTGAAGAGCACATACGTCTGTCTCAAGTTATTACTTGCCAGATTTTTACATCGCCAGCGTGTAACAACATTGGGGACTGTACTATACTTGGGAGATCATTTGCATACAGTATAAAAAGTAAAGGACCTAGGACGGAACTTTGAGGTACTCCACTAAGTACTGGGGCACTTATAATTTATTATTACTTTCTGTCTACGACCTACTAGTAAATCCTTAAGCCATTTTAAAAGAGGTTCAGCAATACCACGGTTTTCCGACTTCAATGACAGTCTATTAGTTAGCACGTTGTCGAAAGCCTTAATGAAGTTTATGTAGACAACATCCACTGAGTTTCTATTGTCTAGCACCTTTATCCAAAATTCCCTTGCTATAAGGATAGACCCTATAAAGATAGACCCTTTCTAAAACCATACTGTTCTATGTTCAGCAAGTTATTCGTTTTTCATAAATGCCGTTATGATCCGTTTGACTATTCTTTGCAATATTTTAACTGCAACACTGGTGAGGTTTACAAGTCTTTAGTTTGTAGCGTGGCGTCGAGTTGGGATTAACTATGAACACCGTAGCCAAGGATCGCGTGCCAAATAAATCAGAAGGCGAAGGTTGAACGTAACCAAATAGATCTATAAAATCCCCGAGAAGCCAAATATCAGAAGGCAGTTAATGGACTAAGTCGAGATATATTTGCTGGCGATCTCGTGGTATCGATAGGATACCGAGATCGTGCCAGGATACAAGCTTGGGCATAGAACGTAACCGAATTCGCGCGAAGTCACAATCAAAGTGTAAGAATAAGAATGTAAGTACAATATAGCTGTCATTAGCACAGTCAAACGAAAGCACATTAAAACAAACACTGGTACAGTTGGTTATAATAATAATTGTTTTTATTAAACCAGTCGTGTTCTCGTGATAAATGTGAGTCACTACAAGTTTGATGGAAGTTGTCTTGGTCCTGTTTTGTGTATGGACGTGACGATTGCGTCCTTCCAGTCCATAGGCAACACACCTTGGTCACTTGACATATTGAACATCACAGTCGGTGGGGCCGTGATATATTGTACAATATGTCTCGAAACTCTTTTTTGGGGGGGGACATGTGATTCTGTTGACTGTTGCTAAGAGCCTTAAATACATCGTCTTGACCGAAGTTCACGATGAGCCTATGGTTTGTTGACTCTGTTTTTTTGGTCTGATTCTTTGTCTAGAGGAGGTTCCTGAGTGAAAACTGCCCCAACTTAGTCAGCCATAGCCTCTGCTTTTTTCTGATCATTTCAGATTCATTCCCTTCTTTAATTAGGTCGGGAATCCAATGATGCATCCATGTTCTGCAGTTTATGTACGAGGATATTCTCTTAGGCTGCTTGAGTGCAGAATGAGCCAAATGCATTTCATATTTTCTTTGAGCTTCCGGATTTTAATTATACATGTGTTTCTTACCGATGTGTAGCGTTCCATCGATCCTGCTGTGCCAAGGCTGTTAGCAACATTCCAACGTTTTTTCTTTTGTCTTAATAAACATCGGATATCCTGGCCTATTCAGGGATGATCGTGCTTCTTCATCTTTGGGACTGTCCAGGGTATTTATGGTAGAATTATCCGATCGCTTTTAAAAGCTACATAAGAAAAAAAGGATGATCACACCTAATAACGATGAAAATGAATTCAGTACAGAAACGCAAGTAACAGAGCTGTTATTTCAGTGAATTAAGGTTGAACCTTAGCTAAATTATTTGTCATAATAAATGCATCCCTACGAAAGATGACAGATCATTGAACTTTAGAGCGTTTGCCATGAATTTTGAGGATCAAGATAGGCTGATGTCGACTAACCGTTTGATTCCATACGATTTTCATGTATAGCGGCTTGACTTTATGCTCTGTCCATATTATTCTTTTCCACCCCTATTAAAATATGATTATACTTGGTAAGATCTTGCCTACATTGAATTAAATGTCATCTGCTTACCATGGGACAGTCTGAGAAGCTGTTAGACACTATGACTTCGAAGTTGGGCCATTTGATTGAAGCAGCATCAAAGTATTTAACCAGAACGAGACAAACAGATTATCGATATAAGTAAGCTCATTATACTGAATAGGGTTTAAGTCTACGAACTCAGTTACTGTACAGCTTAGATGATAACCTAATAAGACATGCCATACGATGATTGCACTCAAAAGAGCTGAAAAAAAGCTAGCACATTTTTGTATCTTAAAACATATGAAATTGTTTGGGAATTTTTAGGTAGACGTTGCTGACATGGTTTGCACCTTACATCATAACCATAACCACTTATAGATATTGCTTTCTAAGAAGTGTGTATATCTACGTGCCTGACAACTAATTCTACTTCCGGTTCTACTCTTTTGAATTTTTACGTGTAGTTAGTTACGCCTCCCGAACATCTGTAATGAGTGAAATCTCAGTATTCGGTCTGAATACAGAACTAAAGAAACAAAGTTTATTGAGTTAGGCCAACCTACGTTCTTCTGTATAGCGTGCGAAGCGTTTCTGAGCGACTCGTATAAAACTATATCAAAGCACAAATTTTGTGCTCAATTTAAACGGTTCTAGTTAAAGAAAAAAACACATTATGTCAAATGTACAAAATATCTCAAACGGTACAGCCTGTGTTATGCAATAAAATAACCCCCTAGCGCAAAATGACGTGCCAAACAGCAAAAATGAATAGTTACAAAAAATATTCGATACCTAAGGGTCAATAAAAGTAATCTTAACAATATGGGATGAAATATCTACCTGTAAGGATTCCAGTAACCTTTTCAAACAGAAAGATGAAGATTAACGAACATACACTGGAACACACCGTGATCTTGAGTTGAGTCAAACACTACCTTATTGTCAGTTATCCGGCAACATGCAGTTGTCAGATCAAGTAATTAAATGGTGATTTTTTAACCAAGGTTGAATAATAAAAGTTCAGATGACGATGAACAAAGGACATGAGGTATGGTTAAGAGACCTGAATAAAGGTTAGAATGCGAAATAGTGAAAAAACATAAATGACAATACTATCCGATGAAATGCTTTGGAGGGATTTTATGCATATTTTTTCCGTCAGAAGAAGAGATAGAAAAGCATAAGCAATACGAATAACAACACGAACGGAAGACTGACGAGTTTTAAAAACGGGTTTGGCCCAAGTATAAAATAATGAATCAAAAGGGGAATTTATGTTCACTGCTCATTTACTGTTCCTTCTTAATGGAATCAAATTACGGGCTTAGAAGATAACCACTAAACTATTCGATGAACATGAAGGTATTAATAAGCGTTTACAATTTTTTGTTATTTATATAATAAGGATTATTACTGATCCGTTTCTGCTTTTCTATGTGCACACTGAGCGGATTACTTGGGTGAAGTATTACGTCACCGGTTTCAATATTCATCATACGTAATTACTGAGTTTTACCAATAACAGTAAGTTGGACGAGACACTAATCTATGGACAAGCCAATCAGAAGCGTTTTAGAGATTTCAAGGTTATGGAGCCAACTTCAGGGCTAAATGCTAACGTACAATGGGTTCACAAGACATTTTGTGCAAGAAGTGTTAATTGAGAGACTATAACAAATAAAACGGCAAGAATAGAATTTGTGGACGAACCAATCAGATATAAGATGAGAAATCTTGGATTTTGGCGTGAAAGCCTTTCATCCATTTGACTAAATAAATTTCTGGCATTATAGCTTGTCAGAAGGGGTTTGTGGAGATTTTTAGAAATTTTCCCAGATTGAAATCATGAGTCAGTTGAAGCTAGACCACCTTTGAAAACCTGGAAGCACTGGACGGTTAAGTGCTCGCGCGCGAAGCCAGTAGGTCCTGGGTTCGAGCCCCACGCGGTGCGGGATCGTGGGTGCGCACTGCTGAGGAGTCCCATACTAGGACGAAACGGCCGTCCAGTGCTTCCAGGTTTTCAATGGTGGTCTAGCTTCAACTGACTCATGATTATAGCTTGTGTCAATTCGTGAGGAAAACCGTAAATCTAATTCCTAACTAGGACAAATTACGACAGTTATTGCGAACTGGATAATAAAAGCAGTAACACTGGCTGCAACCAGGTACTACAATATATACGGATGATTGGAGAGCGTTTAGACTCCCACATAAGTTTGGTTATGTG